TATTATTTTATTATTATTATTACTACCATTACTATTATTATTATTATTACTATTATTTATTTATTATTATTATTATTAATATTATTATTATTATTATTATTATTAATATTATTATTATTATTATTATTATTATTATTATAATTATTATTATTATTATTATTATTATTATTATTATTATTTTATTATTATTATAGGCTTTTCTTTTTCGTCGTCCATGGACCATCGGAAAGTAGTTCCCTTGCCTGAGTGTGTTCGTGTGTGTTCGTATCTGTATATGTTCGGACATTATTCGTCATCGGTGTATCAATGTCTCAATGTGTGTACTCGCACACCATAACTCGTCTTTATAATACTTATCATGAGAATTTTTTCTTTATCCCTTTATCCCTTTTATATCTTTGTTTTCCCTCATGACAATTGATTTTTAAATTATAAGAGAATATTTTTATCGCCGACCATTCTAGATTCTCCTTCATTTTTCTCTTCCTTCTTTTTTTTTTGCTTTTAATTTCTCTCTCTCTCTCTCTCTCTCTCTCTTTTTTTCTTTTTATTTATTTATTTATTTATTCATTCATTCTATTCATTACATTTATTTTATTTCTCCTCGATAAGAAATAAATGAATAAATAAAAAAAGTGATAGAAAAAAAGAAAGAAAGAAAGAAAGAAAGAAAAAAAAAAGAAAGAGAGAAAAAAAAAACAAAAAGCAGAAGAAAAAGGAAAATCGGGGAAGAAGAAAAAAAAGAAAAAACAAAAAAAACAAAAAAACAAAAAAAGAAAAAAAAAGGATTGCCACACTTCGCGAGGAGATTGCGAGTACGCGCGAATATTTATCGTAATGCAATATGGAATGGCCTTGAAACGTACGACGACAAATTACATACGTACATTTTTATATGGATTTCGCATAAAGCAAGTCCATTTTTAATCGACAATATTATATTTCGTCGTCGGATTTCTTAATTTATTATTGTATTTCTTTATAATTTTTCTTTTCTTTTCTTTTTTTTTTGTCTTCTTTTCTTTTACCATTGTCCATCAGTCTCGTGGTATGCCATTTAAAAAAGCCATGTACTCTTTCCAATCGTTATCTAACGACCTATCCCACCTATCCCTTCATATTTACTACCCTTCCTTCTTACCATCCCCACGTCACTTTAATAGTTTAGCATCGCGTACATTGACCGGAATGGTCCATAATCTTTGAAAATATTTCACGTAATTATTATAAACCGTGAATTATACTCTGTAGATATAAATATTTCGTTAACACACCATCTTATCTCCCTCGCCAATATTCGTCGTTCCACCTTCCCCTCCTACTCCTCTTCAATACACCACCGTGTGTGTTTGTGCGTTCATGCGTGTACATGTGTGTTTATGCGTGTTCGCAAGTAAATCGCCAAAAGATTTATTAGATATCGGAATTGATCGTTGAATTCCGAAGGGGTTAAGCTCGAAGGGTTGCTTTTCTTTCTTTTTTTTTTTTTTTTTATTTTATTTTTATTTTTTTATTTACTTTCATTCTCCTTTTCATCATCATGCTTAGTCCCCTTCACACTTCCCCCTTCTCCCCTCCTCACCCTCACCCCTGATCCCTTCCACCCGCGATACGCTCATTATCGTCCCCCCCACTTAGCCCTTATTTTTTTTTTCTTAACCTTATTATTACAATCTTTCATGATATTTTAAAGGGCAACGAAGGGAAACGTAAGTGTAGAAGAGATCTCAGGTGAGACAGGTAGAGGTAGAGTGGGAAGGAAAGGAAAGAGAGGACGAGAAGGGAAAGGGGAAGGGGATGGGGAGAGGGCAGAGTAATTTTCTCGACGAATCACGAATCTTCGAAAGGTGTGTTTCCTTTTTTTTTCTCTCTCTTTCTCTTTTTGTTTTTTCATTTTTGTTTACCCGTTCCTCCTCCTCCTCCTCCTCCTTTTTCTTCTATTTTCTTTTCTTTTTCTTTTTCTTTTTTCCCCCCCCCACTATTATTTTTGGTTCTTTCCTACTTTTTATCAAAACTTTCTCCGACAATAATTATCCTCCGTCTTTGTACAGAAAGCGTTATATTATTCCATATAAAGAGGATTAAAAAAAAATGAGCATGTACGAGATGATACAAGTGATGATAGACTAATTTTTTTTCATTTTCTTTATTTTTCTTTTTTATGGGTGCTCTTTGTTTATACACACGCGGGTGCCATATTATAGCCTTTTGTTATGCGATTTGATACTTTGTTTTTTTCTCGTTCTCCTTTATTCTTTCTTCCTTCCTTCCTTCCTTCCTTCCTTTTTTTCTCTTCTTCTTTTCTTCCTTTTTCCTCTTTTTCTCTCTTTTTTTTTTCTTTTTTCCCTTGTCTCCCTTTAATCCATACCTCATCGACGCAGACGCTTTTTTTCGCACATTCTCTATCTCCGTTCGCTCCTTCTTTTTTCTCCGTTCTTTTTCTTTTTTTTTTGTTTTTAGTTTGTATTTCCATTTGTTTGTTTCTCGTTTCATTTTGTTT